TGATTGTTCTTGTTTCTTGCCTTCATACTCTGTGTGAAGTTGTGAAAGTAATCTTGCCCGTTATGTCCTGAAGACCTTGTTTTGAAACTTGGTCATTTTCTGATAGTCCGCACTTGTTTAGGCTTGTTACGTGAATAGAATTTTTGTGTGCTCTTTTGCCACAATTGTGAAATCTGGGGAGTTGCAGAGACTTTTGTTATTGATCCTGTTAGTCTCTACAGCATAGCTGGTGGAGAATTTGTTTTGTTTGTCACATGACCAGTGGAGGATGGGTAAACCCTCTACTTTGCAAGAGATTCAAGGCTATTTTAGCCAATGTTGTGTGTTTTTCTAGATGCGTTTTAGGAGTTGGATTACTTGGTAATTCTGTTGCTCCTTATCTTTCTGAAAGTCTTATAGTGAAGTTTCACTTTTCCATTTGGAGCTTCGTGGTCTTTTCATGTGGCTCATTTTTCTGTATTGGTTAATCAAGAGCAGTGATTTTTCAATTGAAATTGTTGTCTTTTTGTGAAGATTGGCAAGTTGTCATAAAGTTAAACTCTCTATGGTTGCCAATCTCTACATTCTTGATACCTGAAATTGCTTAAAACTCTTGAAATCCATCTTGAATCTTTCTTGATATTGCTTGTACTTGTTCTTGAAACTGAAATTCAGAAATGGATAATGATTATTGAAATCCTCATTATCTGGATACTTGCTTGAAATTAATTCTTGCATTGTTCTTGGAATCTTATCTCGAACCTTGCCTGGAGTAAAGTCGTGTTAGCATCTATTCTTGAAAATCAATTGATATTTGGTTTTTGGAATCTATTTTGAATTGTCCTTGGAAACCATTCTTGTCTTGACCCTGCTCTTGTTCAAATTCTATATACTGGTCTTGCTCAAATCTTGCATATTCTGCTAGTTCTTGTTGCAGTATACCTGTTGATCTTCTTGATTTCTGATTTTGCTCATATGGACACCTCTTTAGGAGGGGTGACGATTATCAGAAGATACCTATATGAGGTATCTTGACTCTTGTCTCTTGCAAGTGTTAGTCTCTGTATTCTTGACGTCCTAACCTTGACTTGACTCTAGGATGTCTAGGATGACCTGATTGTAAACCTGCTTAGCCTCCATGAGCTACGAGGTGAAGGGGTAATCTTCTAAGCATCTTGATCTCAGCCATTGCTTTGTTCTGTTAATTAATTCTAGTACTTGAGGTGCTAGATCTTGACATC